TCATGGTTGTCCCAAAGGTGCTTTTTCAAAAAAGGCAACTGGACTTTCTTGACTCCCCCCCCCCCCTTGAAAATGTTTCACTTCTCATCCAAGAAGCTTCTTCAGTTCTGATTGCATGGTGGAGGATGAAAAGATTCTCAGAGGGAGCGCTAACGACCAGATCACTGCAAAGAATATAAATCCATCCATTCTTCCCTGTTCAGTCGGAACTGAAGAAGCAACTTCTTGGATGTGGGGAAATGTCTTCAAGGGAAAAAAACAAGAAAGTCCAGTTGCTTTGGGACGACGGCTTAAAAACATGTGGGCTTCAATTCCCAAAATCCCTCAGCCTGGATGCTTTCCCTTATTCTATTTATACTAGCCTGGGTAGCTTCCCAAATTTCTGTTGAATTCTGAGAGACGGTGATATAATAGTAGCCGGGAGTATTAGATAAGTCAATTGCTACCTTGACTTACGTATTAAAAAGGCAGGATAAAAATATAATTACTGTAATGAGCAAAGAAGCACAAGTAGGCAGACAGCCTGGTGACTGATGAGGAGGAAGGAAAGAAAAGAAGGGAGAGGAGGAGATGGAGAAGGATTAAGAAGAGAAAGGAAGAGGAGGAAGAGATAAAGGAGGAGGACTAACGAGAAAGGAAGAGAAGGAGGAGATGGAGAAGAGAATGAGGAAGGGAAGGACTAAGGAAGAGGAGGAAGGAAGAGGAGAAACAGGAAGAGGAGGAGATGGAGAAGAGAAAGAGGAAGAGAAGATGAGAAAGGAGGAAGAGGAGAATCGGGGAGGAAGAGGAGGAAAAAGGAGAAGATGGAGTAGGAGGACTAAGAAGATATGGAGAAAGGAGGAGGAGAAGGACTAAAGAGGAGAAAGGAGGAGGAGATGGAGGAGAAAATAATGAGGAAGGGAAGGACTAAGAAGAGAAGGAAGAGGAGGAGGAGGAGGAGGAAGAGGAGGAGGAGGAGAAATTGCATAATGGCCTGATAATGGAGTAAGAAAAATGAGTAGAACCTTTTCAGAAACCAGACAGAGATTAAAAAGAAAATCCAGATGATGACACTTCTATGTGGTTGCTATGAAAGCCAAAGGAAACCTCCAGGAGCCAAACTGGACTCAAGGGAGGTTTTACCATTTTATATGTATGTTTAAAAACAATCGCGCACAGGCAATTTACACCTCAAACCTTTTGTTGGTGTGTTTTTGACAGAAGCTGCTAAATGAAATTGGTAAAGCCCCCCACCCCCACCCCAAAAAAGCATTGGCTGCTGATTCTATAACAGACAGGGTCTTCAGCCGCTTAGATGTGATATAGTAGATTTTATGGTAGCATAAAAACTCCTGTTACAAATTTGAGAGAGAGACCACCGTTCAGATCGTTCACATGCCCCACCCCACTTCTTAATCCATGGGTCTTATCTATCATCTTTCCTATGGAAAAGATTTAACCAAGGGGGGGGGGAACTCCTCCTGATTTTGTGCCAATAGGAAATATAGAAATATGGAGATGTTAACAGATCCTGGATCTTCCAAAATAACCTGAAAGGGCTTCAAACAGTCCTATTGCCCCATCCACCCCTTCGTCCAGAACATAGCCCATAAAAAAAAAGAAATGATTGAGTTTGGCAGTATCGGAAACCAATTTTTTGGGGGATGGGGGGGGAGATGAGAGGGACGTCATCATCTTCCTTTCAGAGGGAAGTCCTTTGCATTTGGTCAGAGACAGTGTCGAGATTCTCCAGGTCCTCGTGCCGTATCTCTTGTTTCACTTGCTCGTTATCTGACGGCTGCGAAATGCTTTCCTTTCCGAAGAGGGATCGGATCTGGCTCTGTGAGCACTCTCCCGGTTTGGTCAGCATGGAGTCAGACACGGCTTTGGGCTCCTGCATCCAGATGTGCATCAAAACCTCGTCGATGCACAGCCGCCGAGTCACGTCGGGCTGAAGCATGTGGTAGATGAGGTCCTTGCATTCCACCGACAGGATTTTGGACCGGGGGAAATGGACCCGGTGCTCCTTCTGCAGCTTGAGCATCTTCTTGATGTTGGACTCGTCGTAAGGCATGGAACCGCAGACCATGATGAACAGCACGACGCCCATGCTCCAGATGTCGTAGACCTTGGGCTGGTAGGGGATGCCCTGGAGCACTTCGGGGGCCGCGTAGGCAGCCGACCCGCAGAAGGTTTTGCTAAGAATGACCCGCCCGTCATCGTCTCGAGACAGGCGCTTGGCGAAGCCAAAATCCGTCAGTTTGATGTTGTATTCTTTATCCAGGAGCAAGTTCTCGCATTTCAAGTCCCGGTGGACGATGTCTAACTCATGGCAATATTTCATGGCGCTGGCTAGTTGGTTGAACATCTTGCGGGCAATCTCTTCAGGGATGGCCCCTTTCTTCTTGATGAACTCCAGCAGGTCCCCTTGGACCCCGAGTTCGGTGACGATGTAGACTTTCCCTTCGGAGGTCTCAAAGATTTCGTAAGTCTTGACGATGGCGTAATGCTTCACCCTGGCCAACATCTCAATCTCCCGCGGGAGAAACCTATCCAGGAAGTCTCGGGGAGCCTTCTTCTTATCGATGATCTTGACCGCCACGTTACACTTCAGCCGTTCGGAATAAGCAGACTTCACTTTGGCGTAGGAACCTTCTCCGAGGTTGATACCCATAATGTAGCCCCTCTTTTTAAGGACCTCGCCGTCATCCATCGTCTCTTGAGGCCACCCTGAGCTTCAAGTGGAGAGGGCATCACCTACCTACTTCAGCTGCCAACCTTTCCGTCTAGATTTCTATATGTTTCAGAATGGTCTTTCTCTCCTGATGTTGGAAGGCGGCAGAATTCTTAGTACCCTTCCGTGATGTCACAAAGCCAAGCCATGTTTGGTCCTGAGTGAAGATACAATAGTCAGCTTGGGAGCAAACGGGATAGCATGGTGACTTGATGGTGGAGAAGGGATGAATTTCCTAAGTGGATGAGACAAGAGTACGTATCCACAGACATGGTCTTCTTTTGCTGTCTTCTGCATCTCCGAACTTTTGTTTTAGAACTCTGGAGTTGGGTAGGACCAAACTACCCATCATCCATTATATAATCTTAGTTTTCTTTTGGTGTTTTTTTAAAGATATTTTAGGGCACGTTGATATCAAGCTAGGGCATGAAATTGGTTTGATCTGAAAAAGGCTGGAGCATCTGTGTTCCCGTTGTTGCTGGCAGATGTAAGGAGGGATGGCACAGATACATCCTCAATTGAGATTTTTTAGAAACTGGAACCCAAATTGAGCTGGGACCTATACTTGGTTGAAAGCATCGCGTTCAAAGAGCTGGAGGGAGTGATGTAAGGAGTTCAGATTCATAGAGTTGGAAGGGACCTTGTAGGTCATCTAGCCCAACGGGGGGGCCCCGAGCAAGAGACTCTACACCATTTTTGACAAATGGCAATCCAATCTCTTCTTGAAAGCCTCCAGGGATGCTATGGAGATTTTCAGTCATCCAGGTCCGGGTTGTGCCAAAGTTGCTTTTTTCAAGAGGCAACTGGACTTTGAAGAAAAGTCTTTGAAGAAGCTTCTTGGATGAGAAGCGAAACGTCTTCAAGGAAAAACCAGGTGCCTCTTGAAAAAGCACCTTTGGGCCATTTTGATGCTATCAACATGTAATAGATTTTAAAGCTTTTTAAAAAGAAAATAGGTAATATGTAACTGAGCTCAGAAGAGGTTAGTAAAGGTAAAAGGTAAAGGTTCCCCTCACGCATATGTGCTAGTGGTTCCCAACTCTAGGGGGCGGTGCTCATCTCCGTTTCAAAGCCGAAGAGCCAGCGCTGTCCGAAGACGTCTCCGTCTTCATGTGGCCGGCCTGACTATAAACACCGAAGGAGCACAGGTTGCTGTTCCCTTCCCACCAAAGGTGGTTCCTATTTTTCTACTTGCATTTTTTGCGTGCTTTCAAACTGCTAGGTTGGCAGAAGCTGGGACAAGTCACAGGAGCTCACTCCGTTACGTGGTGCTAGGGATTCGAACCGCCGATGTTTCTGATCGACAAGCTCGGCGTCTTAGCCACTGAGCCACCACTTCCAAATCTACCCATTTTCACTTTTTAAAAAAGTCTTAATGACTGTTTATATTTTGTTTCTGTGTGTGTTTGTGGGGGGGGTGGGGTTGTTCCTCAGTTAACCCAGTCTTTCAGAGCTCACTTAATTTTTTTGTCTTTATCATTTAGGTTTTTTTTTATGGAGGTTGTGCAAATGTTCACAACCTTATAAATTGCACTTACAAATTACACTGGGGATTTTGCTGAATCGAAGAAGAGAATTTGAATCCAAAAGAATCTGTAAAATCACCCAGAATTTGCTCTGTCCGTGGTACTGACTTCATATTCTCAACCAGCTTTTATAAACCCACTATGGATTTATATACTGCATGAATGAAATGTATGAATATATCATAAGGTCAATTATGGTAGGAACTTAAGGGCCAATATTTTATGAGGTCAGTAGGTCGTTTTTTTCACATCAGGGCTGTGAATCAATACTTTTGTCACAAACACAATTCATTGACTTATGACTACAATGTTCTGACCTAGGCTTCCCAAAATCACGAAGCAGACTCCTTGTCCCGACAAAATCCCTTCTTCTTAANGCTTTGCCTCACCAGCCATAAAGCTCACCGCACGTCACTGGCCTGGTGAGATTTGAACTGCCAAATTGCAGGCAGCTGGCAGCCAGCAGAAGTAGCCTGCAGTACTGCACTCTAACCACTGTGCCACTGAGGGTCATAAGTTAAAGGAGAAATCAAGCAAGATTAACAGAGGCAGGTCCTCCTCTCCTCCTTTCTGCAGGAGACATGGCTGATTCCAGTCCTAATCCAAGAACAAATATGGTATGGAATACAGTGTTGGTGTCCACAGAGAATACCACATGATCTTACATTAAAATACCAATGACTGTTGTATTAACAGAAACATACTTAGAAATCACTGTCCCTTTCAGTAAATGTGAACATTTTTAGTATTTACCCTGATAATAGGATATTTGGGGTGCTCAATAATTTAGCCAACCATTTTGAGTATTTCCTGCTATGAATGTCCCTGGACCTATTTTTTCAACATTGTTTTTTTTTAAACAGGGAACATAAAGCAACACTTACATAATACCTATTTTTCCTGCAAATCCTGTCCTTCCATCCAACTTCCTCATACAGTAAAAACATTTGCACTCTGAAATTGCCAGCTTATGTTCACATAATTATTTTCTCCTATATTCAAACAACCCCTATCTGTCACAGAGAATAATAATGAAGAAATGTAAGGTATTACTTCTGCCACATTTTTTTCCTAGACATAAGGTACGCAGAGACTATATGAGAATATCTGTCTGTCCTCACTTAATTTACTCTTCCAACATTCACTTTTAAAAAGTCTACTCGCCTGTGGAAGGAAATAGCTCTGTGCACATGTCTTCACATTGGAGACTGAGAAATTTTTGAAAGAAGGTGAGATATGATTTTTTTTTCACTCCCAGCCTTCAAATCTGTTGTCTTTAGTTTTCAAGAATGAAATCAATCAATTGGGCATCTTGAACTACAAAATTTTGACTTGCTTGTATTTTTCAAATATAAATAAAAATTATTTCCATAAATATCTCCTCAGCCTAGATTCATTGAAGTAAAGACAGGGAAATGGATTCTTCTATGTTCACTTCTGCCTCCTCACATAGGCCTTCAATGCATAATGAAGAAAATCCCCTTAGTTCAATACTCTATTTTAGTTTCACAATGGTTGTGTAGTTATTGCAAAGCAAAGTATGCCCTGAGTTTTAAACTTGCAACATTAAAATGACCCATTTTCCAGCTGCTTTAGCAGTTAGCTGGTATAAATCATTATTTGATATCATTATACCATCATTACTTTCCAGGGATAATATTTCATGCTACTATTTCAATAAAGAAGCATTTGCATTCTTATTTTCAGATTTTTATCACTGAGATTTGTACCCCAGAATATGCACATATATCACATTTTAGTGATCTTCCTTATAGGGAAGCACCCAAGAAGTCACTCAAATTCATCTGTGAGAGGGATCTAGGTGTTCTAGTGGACAACCACTTAAGTAGGAGCCGAGGTGGCGCAGTGGTTAGGGTGCAGTACTGCAAGCCACTTCAGCTGACTGTTATCAGTTCAGCAGTTCTAATCTCACCGGCTCAAGGTTGACTCAGCCTTCCATCCTTCCGAGGTGGGTGAAATGAGGACCCAGACTGTGGGGGCAATATGCTGACTCTGTAAACCGCTTAGAGAGGGCTGAAAGCGGTTTACAGAGTCAGC